ACTTTTAAAGATCTTAGCAATGCACTCGAATGCTGCAAGATGTGAATGTTATAACAGACAAGATTGATATAATTTTGCAACTGAAATATTCAGTGGATAAAATATACTGACTTTTTAATGTTTAAAGATGGAAAATATACAATGATTAAATAAACCTAGTGAACAATTGCTTTTTAAAAAACTTTTGTGCCATCTGTGTGTCCACTTAAATGTCTGTTTCAGTGAGATTTAAAGGAAATAAGAGTATAGTCAGAAACATTGCTGTTAGTTAAAATGGATTAATGCAGGCTTTAAGGATAAATATTTGGCTAAATACATGCTAAACTCACAATAACACAAGAATAGAAAAAAGATAGGTGAGAAGTTAAATGAATGTTGTAGACCTGCAATTTCATTTTAGACTGAGGAAACTCCAATTAATGCTGTGAGATTTGTTTTGAAGTAGCATACCATTATTCTTTTTTCAGTGCAAGTGACTGGAGCATGTGATTTTATGAACATTTATTTGAAAATATTTTTGGCTTTTGCATTGTTTCAAATCATATATATTTTGGGTTTTAGATCAATATACTGTGATTCTGACTATTGTGGTTTGTAAACAATGGTTTATGGCTTAGTAGATATGAAACCAGCCAACTGAGGTTTATTCAACAACCCATGACTATACAAATACATATTTAGTACAAGTCATAGACTTCAGTAGGACTTACTACCAAATGCTTAGTTGATTTCCATATACCTGAACTAATTTCATTAAGAAATAGGGCATACTATTTTCAATGCACCTTCTCCCTGGAAAGTATGTTTGGGATTAGGCTTGAGTTAACAGATTGAAAATTTTGTTTTATTCATTAAATTTCTATGCTGCCCATCTCACTGATCTAGTGACTGAGATTCAGATATGGAAAGATGGGATTTTATTAAGGTTGCCATTAAAATAATGTCCTTCTAAGATTGCATAATTATGGTTTCTTATATTTATAATTATATGAGCGCTCTGGTCTTGTAATATGGTTTGTTTGATCTTTGTGGTTTTGTGGGGAGGCAGTTTCAGGGGGTCGGTGTGTTTTATTTTTCTCCTGGATAATTCAGGGTTGGAGATTCAGTAGACAGAACCTCCCTACTTGTGTGAAGCTGTCATTTAACCATGAAATGAAATGCTTTTATTAAGTTTGCCCTGCGGATATGGTCCGCTGTGGCAGGGTTGCCCATATTTGGTGGCTGTGCAAGGAGAGCCAGGTGGTGCTGCAAAGCATCGCACAGTGAAGCGTGGACAGATCCAGATCTGACATTTGTCATCTTGCAGTGCTGAAGGGGAGTTAAAATCTGTTTTTCCATATGCTTCTGTTTTAATTTTTGCCTGCAGTTTTGTCCAGATGGCATACTGAGCATTGTTTACTTTAAGATGTTTTCCCAGATGTTGTTGAATGCCGATGGATAAATGCAACAACTGTGGTGCACCAATATACAAATTAAGCATACAATTTAGGCTTCTGTCAAAAAATCCAAATATATTATATGTACTTTAAATGAAAATATCAGTTTCCTGTGGTTTTTTTTTTAAAGATGTGAGTCATGTTGACATAATAGATAAATGTCAGACTTGGTGCAGGAAAGAAAAAGTTTAAATTAGTCACAAAAATCTTAAACTGATACTACCTTTCATATTAGCTATATCATAAGGGATTGTTAAAAGACTATAAAATGAATGAGGAAAGGAAAGAAATCCAAAGCAAGGATGTTTGCTTGAGTTTACATAAAGATGAAACAGAATTATAATTAATCATTAATTTTCAAAGCACCAGTTCTATCTTTCTTGCTTTGAGAATTCTAAAATATTAAATCTAAAATTATGCAAGTGGATTTAAAGTTTTATGATAGGAATTACTTTTCAAATCTTCCTTCTTGCATGATTCCAAATATAGCAATAGCATTTAGTCTTATATACCATTTCACAGTGCTTTACAGCCCTCTCTAAATGGTTTACAGAGTCAGCATCTTGCCCCCAACAATCTGGGTCATTTTACTGACCTCGGAAGGATGGATGGCTGAGTCAGCATTGAGCCTGGTGAGATTTGAACTGCCAAACTGCTGGCAGCTATCAGTTAGCAGAATTAGCCTGCAGTACTGCATTCTACCCACTGTGCCACCACGGCCCATGCTGTTTTTTGTCCATCATTACCCTGAAGTAAATTTACAGGAGGGACCTGGGAACTTTCAGGGGCATTATTTTAGTTTTTCTCCTTGTTATGAGGCATGTTGTAGACCTACATTCTGAACAGAGAAATATATATTTTAGGTTGTTGATCTTGTTGCTGTCTGTTTCTTTAGGGAGCGGTCCACAAGGAATGTAGTGCTATTGTATAAAGATAATTTGGAATAGGGAGAGATTGCCATTGCCTTTGACAACATTTACCTATGAGTCACAGGGACAGTGGCCTAGAGGTGAAGGTGCATACCTTCCACTTGGAAGGTTGAGAGTTCAGTCATAGGCAACGACAGATGTTTTTCTATCAGGGCACAAAGAGAAAAATATCTGCTGCTTGTTCCATGTAGGTGTCAGGAAGGGCATCAGGCATCCATTAAGTCCATTACTAGTTACCATCGGCATGGAAAGTACTTGAAATATTATATATGACGGTAATTTTCATATTTAGTTCAGGACCCATGAGACAATATGAAAGTTGCAAGTTGAAATCTAGGCTAAATAGCATATTTCAGGATTTCTCATTACCTCTGCATTAAAAAATTTCTAATTTCACTGCAGGTAGCAAGTATCTAGATCAGGGATGTAAAATTCAATTTCATTGAATTTTACAGGGTTGTTTTACCTCAGAGGAGAGACCAGAAGTGGGCGTGGCCAGGGTAGGCATGGCCAGCTCAACGTCACTGATGTTGGGGGGGGGCTGTGGTGGCCCAAGAGCTCTGCCAGAGAAAACGGGCTCCCGAGCTCCATTTTCGGCTGCAATGGACTCCTGCAACCCTCTGCCAGTGAAACCGAGCTTAGGAGGGCTGCGTGCGGCTCTACTGAGCTCTGTTTTCACTGATAGAGGCACCATGGGCCTGTCCTTTGCTGTTTCAAGGGCGGCCCCACGTGGGCCGGATCTGATCCCTTGCCTTGAGTTTGATACCCCTAGATTAAGGAGTTACAGAATTATGTCATGGAGACAATATAATATCTAGCCAATTGCTTAAGGCAGTGATGGTGAACCTTTTTTGGCTTGCGTGCCATAAGCAGGAGGAGAGCAGGGGGGTTGTGCATGGGCGTGCCACACTCATACTGCAATGTGCAATCCCTCAGCATGCATGCGTGCATGACAGGTGCAACCCCCCCCCCCATTTTTTGCATGCTTTTTTCGCCCTCTCCAGGCTCCAGAGGCTTTATAGGGACCCGGGGAGGGCAAAAACAGCCCCCCCCCGGAGGCCCTCTGGAGCCTTCAGCAGCTTCCCTGAAGCCTCCGGAGGGCCTCTGGGGGGGGGGGGCAGGGGGGGCTGTTTTCGCCCTCCCCAGCCCCCTATAAAGCCTCTGGAGCCTGGGGAGGGTGAAAAATGGCTTTAAAAAGGCTGAACTCAGCTTGCCAGCACGCGCATGCACGCTGGCCAGGTGACAGGACAACGCCTTGCATGCCCTGACAAATGGCTCCACAGGTGGCACGCGTGCCATACGCCATCCTGGGCTCAAGGTAATTAATTTTTGCTCACTTAGTAGGCAAAAATGTGAAGCTGTGGTGTTCTTTATTTACTTATCTTGGAGTAAGTTTGACTTAATGATTTCATCTAGGGTGCTTAAGCTTCTGCTTCATAATTCTCATTTCCAGATAATGCTGACATGCTGTTTTCATAAAATAATTGTTTAGAACCTGGAATATACTTCAGAATGGTACAAATTTCATGCAAAGCTATTTGGTTTACTATATGCATCTCCTCTTATATTGTGTAATAGTTCAAAAGCAGGAAGATGAATCTCTTGGGTATGTTAAGAAATATTCAGAAGTTAGATCCCAACTAATTATTGGAATGTAGCTCCATTGAAAGCAATAATGTTTTAGTTATTTATTCTTCCCATTGATTCCAATGGGAATTAAGAATAATTACCTTGGTCTGAAACCGATCCAGAATATTATAGAATATCTTGGAAAGTAAAACTATTTTCTGAAGATTGTATGAATTTCTTAAACCAATCCAGTAAGTCCTTGTAGAAGTAAAGAAATTGCAAACTGGACTTGGGATTTTTAGTCTTTTTATATGTGCAAAATTAGATGAAGTTTCCAGGAAATATTTTTTGATCACAAGTTATATTTGGAGGCAGGATGTTAAAATGCTAATTGTTTTATGTGTCTTAAAAGCTGGAGCCTAATACAAAGAACATGATGTAATAGACTCAATTAAAAAGTACAGACTATTCTGTACCTCATTGTTCGGCACATTTTTCATTTTTTCAAGAGCTGTAGGCTCAAAACTTGCTTATCCTGAGGAATTCTGAAATCTAGAGTAGCAGGACAGGAAATTGGAAAATGAGTGGTTCAAATTAACTTCGCACACTCCAGCACTTTCTATATCTTAGAAACTAAAGGGCCAAAGACTATTCGAGGTGCTAGTATTAACCCAAAAAGTCTTGTGTTCTTGTTGATCCATCCCATTTTACAATTATTTACGAAAGTGGATTTTATCTTTGCTGTTAAAGAAAAACTATATGCCATTCTCTTGATCTTTCTAGTCGATTTGTTTATACATATCATTTCTATGTTACAGATGAGCATAAACATTGTCTATACAACATAATAGTATCTTCCCAACATAGGAAGAGTTACCAGTCAGAGCCTGAGAACTGATTGACTTTAGTTAGTAGCTGTTTCCAAACTCTTTGAATAAATCTCTTAAGAACGTAGTATCATTCCAAACTGGATGTTTATGGTGCTTTTGATATTTTAGAGTTTTTTTTAAGGTCAGCATGCAGTACCTTGTGTATGATATTTGATTCTTATCTTTTCTCGTTAAAGGTTCATCGTCAAAAATTATATGGTTACATGAAGAAAACAATGAAGCAAATGACATATTAAGAGGAAAAGGACTCAGTTCCAGCTGGGCGTCTGTTCCCGTTAAAGGCATTAATAACTTAGGAAACACATGTTTCTTTAATGCTGTTATGCAGGTAAAACTGATATGTTATATGGGTAGTTCATTCCCTTTTCAGCACAAGTTGTGCAAAATTGTATAACTGGATATCTAGTTTATCTCTAATATTTCTCAAACGTTTTCAAGAAATGTCTAATATTTAAATGTATTTATAGAAATGCCTAATATATACAGCTGTGTGAAAAAGTCCCGCACGCTTTCAGTTTTAAGCTCTATTTACATGTTAATCAACTTTTCACTCATAGAAACCACACAAAATTAGTACTTTGATGAAAATTTCTGTAGTCTGATTGAGATGCATAAGTTTTATTAATATAACCAAAGTCTTTTTAAGGTTTTGAATGAGTTTATGTGCTAAAACAAACACAAACATTGAAAGTAGCCAATTAGCAGCGAGCTTTGGCTGACCAATCAAAATGCACAGAAGCTAAATCTATGAGCCAATCAATGTTGTCATACACTCTGACTATAAATAGGCATGAAAAGCATCGAGAAATTTAATTTAGCTCTGGCTGCGGGCAAGGATGAAGGCCTTTGCTTTCACCAGTACTGAGCGGCGGTATGGCATCATTGTGCTTCATGAAGACAGTTACTCCTGTACAGAAATAGCCAAGAGAGTGAAATGCCATAGCCTACTTACAGTGAGCAGAGTGGTTG